AACAAAAATACCTGGCAATGGTAAAGAAGGAAAGTTGGCAGGAATGTTGAATTAAATGGCAGGAAAGTTGAATTAAGAGACAGAGGAGATAATTCTGGCTGCCGAACACCAAGCCTTAAGAATAAATGCATATAAAGCCAGAATTGAGAAAACAGCAACAAGACAGCAGATGCTGCCTCTATAAAGAAGCTGAAGAAACTGCTTTGCCTGCAAGTAAGAACTGGTGGGATCACAAAATAGATAAAGTAATAGAAAATAAAGACCCTAACATGTTCTGAGACCTTAGAATTTAAACAGATAAGCATCTGCCACACAACACTCCAATAATTGTTAATAAGAAAGACAAAAATGTCTGGATTGCAACACTTGGAGGCAACAGAAGAGAAGAGAAAGGATTAGAAAAAATCACAAAATATAATGACCTGCGAATAAAAGTAGAAGAGAGAAAGCATAGATAGTATCAATAGTAATAGGTGCCTTGGATGCAATCCCAAAACAATTGGAGCACCATTTGAACATGATCGGCATTGACAAAATCACCATCCGTCAATTGCAAAAGGCAACTTTACTTGGAATAGCATATATCCTGCGACTATACTTTTAATATTATTAAACATTCTTTGGGAAGGACTTGATAAGTGGACAAAAATGCCAAATCCAATGTAAACATCAGGCTGATTGTGTGACTGATCATAATAATACAAAACTAGAAAGACTACAAAGTTATTAAAGACTTTTCAGAACAAGGTTTGATTTTTAGTTTTAAAAATGTTGGGAATACTATTAAGCAGCGTGAGACTCTTGTTCCAATTTCAGTCTTCATGGGTATAAAAAAGAATTTCATGAAAGTTCTTATAAGCAGCAACACAAAAGTTGCCACACACGAAAGCTGTTGCAGAACTAATGCTGTCGCTAGAATCTGAAAAGTGACCCTGACAGAGAATGAGGTTGGCTCAAAAACTAACTTCAAAAGAAGAGTTTACAGATAGCTGGTTCCCATCTATTATGCATTCTCATTTAAGTAATGGCCTGCCAGGTACCCAAATTGGGTTTTGGAAAGGCTGTTCTGAACTTCTCATTATTGATGTTTATTGAATAAATAATGCCTCAAGTCCTGCTATGCTATATCATCATGGAGGGGGCTGTTCCTGAGATGGATGAGTGAAGAATGATGGGAGTTTACACCAAAAGTATATACACCCAGAAGATCACCCAAAGCATGAAGGTCATCCAGCTGCCCAACTAAAGCAGGCATTTACAATATATCGGACACCAATGATATAGGAAAAAGTTGAAGTTGGATGACCACTTTAGTGATAACAGCAAAGGCATAATTTCATACTGTGTGGGAAGAGGCTGTGGAAACTATCTCACAGTCTTACCAAGAAAACCATATGGCTGAATAATATAAAGAAGTTGATGATTTAGTGATGGAAGTTGATTCCCTAGGGTTGAATGGCACTCAACCAGTGGTGAAATATTAAATTTGTTACTACCGGTTCTGTGGGCATGGCTTGGTGGGGGGGGGTTAATGTGACTGAGTGGGCGTAGCCAATTTAAGAGGTTGCAGAAAAAAATGCTTTGAAAAGCCTCTGACGATCAGGCAACTCAGCTGGGATTGCCAGAGGCTTTTAAAGGCATTTTTTTTCTACAACTTCTTTGGCCGAAGAGGTTGTAGAAAAAATGCTTTTAAAAGCCTCTGATGATCCCAGCTGAGCCACGTGATTATCAGAGGCTTTCTTTTTTTACTTTTAAAAGCATTTTTTCGTCCGAAGAGGTTGTAGAAAAAATACTTTTAAAAGTTTTTTTAAAAGCCTCTGATGATCGCACGGCTCAGCTGGGCATGGAGAGGGCACAGGGATTTTTGCTACCAGTTCTCCGAACCACCCGCTGCCATCGCTACCAGATCGGGTGATCTGGTCCAAACTGGGAGCATTTCACCCCTGCACTCAACCTACTACTAAGGAATTGCTGAGGCTTTACTGGAGTACTAGTGATGTTTATGAGCCTTCAAGATGTCTAATGGCTGAAGATGCCATGCAGGAAAAGAAAATCCCAAATGGCAAAGACAGAATTACATGGGAACATGGAACATAAGAAGCATGATCACAAGGAAACTCAATAAGGTGAAAAATGAAATGAAATGAAGACACATTGACTTCCTAAGCATCAGTACACTGGAATGGGACACTTGACTACTCAGGATGTGAAAAATTAGAATACTTGGATACAATGTAACCAATGACTGAATAATATCAATTAGACTATGAGACTATTTTTCCAGGTGACAGTTATTCAACTTTATGTTTTAACCAGCAATGCAGACAAAAAGTAAGTTGACAGGTACTATAATCAAGTTCAACCTAAAATCCACAGAGGGTGCAGCAAGATATGCTGCTTGTGGTGGTAATTGAAATGTCCAAGCTGGAAATAGTAAGAAAAGAAAATGTAGTTGGACTCTATAGTTTAAAAAACCTTAATGAGGCAGGAGAATATCTTATTTTCTGCCATTGCAATGATTTTTAACTATTAAGACAGTCTTCAAACTATCAAAACAATACAGGTACTCCCCGAGTTACAATAGTTCATTTAATGACCATTCAAAATTACAGTAGCATTGAAAAAAGTGAATTATGACCATTTTTCACACTTATGACAGCAGCATCCCCATGGTCAAATGATTTACATTCAGATACTTGACAAGTGATTCATATTTATGACGGTTGCAGTGTCCCAGGATTATGTGATAACCTTCTGACAAGCAAAAACAGAGAAGCCAGATTCATTTAACAACATTCACTGCAGCTAACTTAACAACTGCAGTGATTCACTTAAATGTAGCAAGAAAAATCGTAAAATGGGACAAAACTCACTTAACAAATTTCTCACTGAGCTAATTATGAACCCAATCACAAACTACTCATGTGCAAGCTCCCAGCCAAACTAAAGTGGAAGAATAAAGCTTCCAGTTTTCATTATATGGTCTTGAGCATTTGATCACATTTTCAAGGGGAACATTTGGAATTGCTTTAAAGACTTAAAGATCAGGAAATTCTTTGATCTGGCTTGCCTTGGCCAGATCGCCCTCCCCCCAACTTACCCCCACTGACTCACCCCAGCCAACACAACACAGGACAACTATCCACAGAACAATTCACCACGGGATAACTCAACACAAGGTAACTCAACATGAGATAACTGTACTGTTATCCACCAGTGTTTCTTCGACATTATTTTAATTTTTGTCATTCACATTTCATTTTGTCCCTCTTTTAGCATCCTTTCTTTAATAGTTCTATTCTACAATTTCTTCAATAATATCAGATCAGACATATTTGATCTGAATTATTTTTTCCAGGACTGAAAACCCAATATTATTTGTTTGTTTGTTTGTTTGTTTGTTTGTTTGTTCAATTTTTATAGCAGCCCATCTCAATCAATAACTCTGGGCAGATGCCATTTGAAAAAATATACAATTAAAACAATAAAAATGTTTTATTTAAAACTAAATAAAAAATATCTATCCAATATTTATCTGTGCAGTAGCCAAGTTTGTAGTGTCATAATGAAAATAAGACAAAAATGGCTAAAGAAGTAATTGGTTTAAGAAGTGCTCACTTTTATTCCTAATATCACTTTTAGATAGTTATTTTTAATTAATACATTTCTAAGGAATATTTACTCTATATTATACTTTTTCCATTTTTGAATTTATCATTGCTTGGCTAGTTAATATATTAATATGGTAAAAGAGATATGAATGTAATATCATTATGTGATTTGTCTTTTAGTACATTCCATATTAATTTGCTTCATTTTATTACTGCTCTTTTAAATTTGCTTATCATAATTGAATAAATACATACTACTACTACTTATGCAAGCTAAGACAAAGAATTTCAGACAGTTGTTAGAAGACAGAACAAACAATATTGCAGCATCTGTAAAGTCAATGAGGATGGAAATAGATGCAGAAAAACAAGAAAATTCTTCCAAAATATCTTCAAACTCAGAAAGAGATTCCAGCCTCAAATAGGTATGCTGAAGGATGACAATGAACAGATAATTGACCCAAAGATCAGGAGGAAAACATTGAAAATTCTGTCCAGTAGAGATGTCTATATGCAAGATACCTTAGAAGGTATTCTATGTTGGAAGAACCTCTAATATTATCATTCATTCTACAATTTTCATCCAATATTATAGCATGAAGAGGGGAGCAGGCAGTTAGAATGGGCAGAGCACAACCAAGATTGGCAGGAAGAGGTGTCACAGATGTCAATGTGTGCTTAATTTTATTTAGGATCATGGTCTCAGGTTCAGTGCAAGAATAAGGAAAAACAGTGGATTATATAAAGGGTCAATGTCCTCCCCCCCGCCAAATCCTTAGATAAGGTCACCAAGTTGTAATTTTATAACTGACAGATAGACAAAAATTGAAATAAACAAAAAGTAGTCATTTTTACTGAATTCAGTAAATCTAAGTTGAACAAATTTAGTTTTTTTTTCTCCTAATTTATTGTCTCAATTTCAAAATATACAGTAATCTGGACCAAACAAAATCCCAACTAGTCCCTTATCACAAACATAGTTGAACATCTCTGACTTAAAAGTGTGTTGCCTTGGTTAATTTAATACATATGTGAAACACAAATAAACATTGGATTGCATATGTTTTCTTTAAATCCTGCTAACTCACATACTCCCCCTTCATATTCTGCAGTAGGAGTCCTTTATTCTAATTTACCATACATTTTGTTGGTGCTTTCATTTTTTATGAGCTCATGGGAATTCTTGGGTCCAATTATTAATTCATGAATAGTAAAAACTGAACATGATAATACTGAAGCTGATAATACTTGTTTTCAAATATGGTTGTCCAAGTATTAAAAGTATTCAATTAAAACTCATGTGAGAGACAGTAATGTAAGTGACAAATATGAAATAATTGATGCCAATAAACTGGTAAATTGAAAAGTTCCTTCAGATTTAAATATTACCTGCTCTGGTTTGATGGGCTCAGTTGTCGTAAAGATGTCGGAATAATGCTGTCTTTCAAAAACTCGATCCAATACTTCTAATTGTTGCTGAGTGAAAAGATCTCCCCGCATTTGTTTCCGAAGGAAGTCTCGACCCGGAAGCGAATGGCCATTTGGTATAGGAGATTCCTGAATACCTTTCCAAAAGGGAAAAAAAATGCAGAGACAGATAACTATTATTACAGCAATTAAAGCATTTGAAGTTAAAAATGTAACATATCACATAAATAAAGCTTACCAAAACATCTTTGCTTTATGAGTGTCTGTGTGTCTGTGCATTTGTCTGTGTGTGTTGGTAAGTTTTATATTTACGTGTTTATATTCATAAGACTAATCCATGAAGAGTTATGGCAAAATGGTGTAAGAGATCATACAGCTGCTGAGTAATTGATGCAGAAAATATTTAATTAAGCATAATGGCAGTCAAAAGTCATTAAAAACATCACAAAATATCTCTTCTTGTAAATTATACTGAAATATCAAGTTGTTTATATATAGTCTTCTAAAATAATACAGGCCTCTTTAAATTCAACACAAAGCTCTCATTGAATAGTAACTTCAATTTCCCCTGGGTCACTAACACAAATATGGGCAATGGCAAATATTTCTTTTCTGCTATGTACCCATCTTCATTCCAAAAATAATGAAGAGCTGCTGCTTCAGTTTAAGAAATGGTAAGTATCTCTAAAGAGTAGAAGGCAAACTGGTAGATCTTTAGCTCAAAAAAAATTGTATGTGGCCACTCATCTGAAAAAATGAGTGGACCTGAAAAAAGAGAGAGGAGAGAGATGTGCCTATCTAAGGTGGAATAAACAAATTAAATTCATCTTTTTAAAATATCTGCATTAGAGCAAGGATTTTCTAATTTCTATGAAAAAGTAATTTTGGTTCAAGTGTCAATCAAGTGATGAAAATAAACAGTGCTGATGAGTTTTCCACTCATTCCACTCATATGCTTTAGAATAGAATAGAATAGAATAGAATAGAATAGAATAGAATAGAATAACAGAGTTGGAAGGGACCTTGAGGTCTTCTAGTCCAACCCCCTGCCCAGGCAGGAAACCCTAAACCACTTCAGACAAATGGTTATCCAACATCTTAAAAATTTCTTTATATAGTAAAGAAAGTATACTTTATATAGTATACAGTATACTTTAATATACTTTATATAGTATGCGGTGTATTGTTAGTATTCCAACAAAAATGGTGCGAAGTCTGAGGGACTAAGCGTATCAGGAGAGATAGCAGGAATTGAATATGTACAGTTCATTGAGGGCTGCATCAGAGTTGTGTTTGACCTTGGGGAGCTGTGGTAGGCATGGTAAGGGTGGGTATGGCCAGCTTGATGTTACTCGTGTCCGGGGCACCTATGGTGGCCCGAGCACTCTGTCAGTGAAAATGGGCTCCCGAGCTCCATTTTTGGCTGCGACAGCCTCCTGCCAGCGAAAACGGAGCTCAGGAGGGCCATTTTTGCTGGCAGAGGCACAGCGTGCTGGTCCTTTGCCGTTTCCAGGGCAGCCCCGCAGGCCAGATCTAAGCACCCCCATGGGCCGGATCCAGCCCTCAGGCCTTGAGTTTGACATCCCTGGTACAGCTGGATGACAGAAGGGAAATGGGGGGGACATGACTGAAACCTTTAAATATACTAAGGGTGTGAATAAGGCTCTAGGAAACAGTATTTTCGATATTAAGCAAAAATCATGAATATGGGGGCATAACCTAGAGTGACAGGAGGGAAGTTCAGAAATAATGTTAGAAAGTATTACTTCAGAGAAAGAGTAGTGGAAGCTTGGAACCAACTTCCAGCGGAGGTAGAGGGACAATCATCAGTAACTGAAGTTAAACTTGTCTATCATGCAACAAAAATTTTTAAAAAGCAAATAAAAAAAGCCAAGGGCAGACTCAATGGATGACTAGGTCTTTTTCTGCCATCACTTTTCAATGTATACAAATCCTGAATACCTGTTGTTTCCACCAATGGAAAAATATCTTCCACCAATGGAAAAATATCTCAGAAAACTAAAATTGTGTAATCTTAATAGGCCAATAAAATAGTTGGGATATGATCCAGTTAAAATGCTGTGCAAAAGATTGTGCCACCACTCAGTTAAACTCCTGTTGAGAGGGCAACTCAGAGAGAGGGAACAGATCAACCAGGGAAGATGGCAGGGCAGATCATCAGGAAGAAATCGTTTTGGAAGGAAAAAAAGAAAGAAATGCTGAAGCAAAAAACAGATTTTGAGAAAAAAGGGAACTGAAGTCACTGCATCAAGAAACCAGAGGGAAGCAAACTAATATGGCTGGAGACAATTGAAAGCTGTGGTAGATTCCACTCTAAGAAGCTAGACCGAATTGTCAAAAAGACAACATAGAAGAATTTCTGCTGTAGCAGTTGTGGGAGAGGAAGATGTGACTTATGGCAGGAATACTATGAAGAAGTCATCTATTATTTAAGAGTCTTGTTTGGATCCAGCCTTCATTCAGAAGCAAATATATGGAACATATATATTTGTATACAGACTTTGTAAAGGATCTGATAAATTTCCAACCAATGTTTTCTCTCTTCCTATCTTTCGCTCCACCTTTCAACACCACAGCATTAAAAGTCTATTTTTCTTTTTCTTCTTTATTTTTTTTTAATTTTTTATTATTATAACATAAAATGACATTATGAGACATACAACATTTATATATATACTCTCTTAACAGCTATTTCGTGATGATCTTCTAGTATTTACATTTTCTCCCTTTTCCCTTTATATTATTCCAGTTTCTTCTTTTCCCCTCTCTTTTAATTACAATTAAAAGAGTTGTACACTGGATTTTGAAAATGTTAGGAATACAAGCAGGTTTTATGAAGTGGCAATAATCCTCCTCCACTTTCCTCTTTATAACAACACAGTTGCAGGTAGTCCTCGTTTAGCAACAACTCGGTTGTTAAACAAAGCAATCAGTAAAATGAAACAGCTTCTGTGCAAATTATCTCATTTCAGCTTCACAGCTTTACCGAGCTGTGAAGATTGTAAATGTGAGAATTGATCATAACGTTACAACTCAGAATAGTCACTAAATGAAGCAGTTGCTAAACAAGGACTACCTGTTGGTGAAATCTATCAGCAGTCCCTCTAGCTCCTGTCCCTTCACAAGAAACTTTTTCATATATTTGCACATTCAATACATTTTCATCTAACAATGAAATTAAAAATATTGATGGCAGCTAAATGCTTTTCATCTAACAATGAAAAGCATTTAGCTGCCATCAATATTTTTAAAGTCCAAACTCTTGTAGTTTCAATAAAACACATAAATTGTGCATCTATGTCAATGTACAATATATATGCACATGTGCATATATACATACATATGTGTACATGCCACATCATGCAGACATGCAAACATGTATCTCATGATTACATTTCCCAAATTATGTAATGCCTCACAGGACAAGCACTGGGTTCAGTCAAGCATAGCTTATAAAATTAAAAGTCTGGAAGGTACTGCAGGCTGGAAAAGGCCAAGAGTGCCTTTCAGCAGAGCATGCAAATGCTTGTATTAGACTTTTAGGTTAAATCAATATTATTTTGCAATTGGATGTTAAAGTTATGCATTTACATAATTCTGATGAATGGAAAGAAAAATTCAGTTTCAGCTTTATCAAAATCAAACATTTCCCATTATTTTCTTGGGGCATTTCTACTAGTTCTTTACAAGTTACAGAAACTGCTATTATTAATATGCATTACAATAATATGTCTTTATAAACTTTAAACTCATGTTGAAAAAGTGTCAGGTCCAGAGTGTTACCTGAACAAAAAATATTCAGTTCTAATATTAAGGCAAATTAGTCTGATTGAATACATTGTTAAGATGTGTAAACTCTACATTGGTTTCAATTCTACAAGTGGGAGGAGGAGGGGGGATCAGGAGGAGAGGGAGGAGGGGGGACGGGGAGGAGGATCCAGCAATCTGCAAAAATTATAACAACATCTAAAACCTATGTGCTCTAAAGTTCAGTCAAACAATAATTGCACCCATTGTCCCACAAAATTCCCTAAAGACATGGGCAAAGCCATAAAAAATAATTCCCTAAAGACATGGGCAAAGCCATGAGCAACAATGAAGTCCTGACCTGGCTTTGTGTAATAGATAGAGTTTAATTGACTAGTTCCAAACTTTAGTGTTTCCTTGAGTTACTGTACCTAGTTGAGCTTTTGGGGAACAGGCTGGAGGAATACTTTTAAAAGGATAATATAACTCGCAGTACATTGCACAGTATTCTTCACTTATTCATAAGCCTCACTTTTCTTGGCCCACAACACCTAAGAGAAAGATCTAATGGAGCAAGCATTAGTAGCTGGGGTTTAATCAGTGCATGTCACTGTGCTTGGTCCACAGGTCACATGAAATCGTAAAACAGCATTAACAAAACACATTAGCTACATGCTGTGTCTAGACAATTTATGGGTGAATAAGATGGTCTGGTTCATCCAACCTGCTCAAATATGGATGAATTTGCATAAAAAACTGAATTACCAACATATCCTAGCCTATCATATTGCAGAATACCACCATTCTTGTGTCAGCCCCTTAAAGTCAATAGGGACATCAGTAAAGTGGCAGAGAAATCAAATATCCAGGTGTCAGCCTTGGGAGGAAGGCCATACAAGAAGCACATCCAAATTAACTAATCCTACTTGTAAGGTTTTTTGTAACAGTAATAGAGTTGGAAGGGACCTTGGAGGTCATCTAGTCTCATGCAGGAGACCTGTGCTAGGGATTCGAACTGCCAAACTGCCAACCTTTCTGATCAACAAGCTCAGTGTCTTAGCCACTGAGCCACCTAGTTACATTAACAGAATCTTGCAAAGACTGAACATATTTCTCTTCTCTCTTTTTTAGTCTCTGGAAAACTAGGCTCTTATCAGACCATTGCCTCAGCTGCAGCTCTTCCTACTGTCTCCCAAGGTCATCCCCACATATCACTATATCAGGTCTGGAAAAAATGCTATTTGTCACCACAAATGAAAGGACAACGATCCCAAATCAGGGAAAATGGCATGTTGTCCTGCCCAAGAGCTTCCAAATAACTTCTGACTGACTATGCTATCTCAAGGAAGAGGCTGCCATCATGGAAATA